TGATAAAGAAAGTATTAAATTATTTTCTTAATCCAATACAAAAGTATGAAAAACAGAATTAGTTCAGCCAAAGCTAATGCTAAGTAGCTATCCCTAGACAAATCTTTAGGCAATGATTGAAATAACTCAATGAAGAAAAGAAAACTGAATTTCATATCTGCCTTTTATTTTCTTATAAAACCCACCAGAATTGGAAGGGTGACTTAGTGAAGAAAAAAAAAATTAAAGTTGACTTTCAAATTATATTTGCATTATAAAATATGCAAGAACCGCTAAGATAACTAAACAAAGAAGCAAAACACGAAAACTAAATTAGCTTTCTCTATTTGTCTCAGAACATGCGAGCGTGGGTGGGTGTGGGTGTAAGTTCTATTTTCACTTACCCACACCCACGTTCACACCATCCATCAATGTCCACACCCAACCATGCTCACTCCCAAAACAGATTAATGATTATTTAAATAAAAGAGAAATCAGTTTATCAACTAAAATCATCAGAGTCCGTATTTACAAAAAAAAAAATATTAAAACATAAAAAAATATATAAATTATTTTGAATTTATTTTACACATTTTGTGAATTGTGAAATTTTCAGTTCTCAATTTTTTCCAGGAGATAAACACCACACTTTGTATTTTCACCAACGTTTTGAAACATCAACAGACTATTTCACGTTAATATTCAAAAGTAGAAAATTTTTTGCTTCTTGAAGCAGTACAAATTTCGTGAGTTTTAATGAATGAAGAATAGCAACCACGGACACAAAAATATGATCAAATATAACAAAATTAGTTGGATACCTTTGACTTCAATATTTATTTGGAGAACTCATCTATATTTTCACTATAGTTAAAGAAGGATACGTATGTGAGTGAAAATGTGCGCCTTTTCCACCTAAATTTACAAACACCCTCGCACCTACAGTCACATCCTCAACTATTTTAGATCTTCACCTTGTGAATTTCCAGAACTGCGATGAACTTAAAATTTCAAAATTAAAAAGGTCCTTAATCTTTCAGTTCAGGATGAACTGTGTCTGTATTTTATGAACGTTACTTCTATAAATCAACAAACTCTAGTTACCACGATATACTTTAGCATTGTCCTCATTTGATGTACGACTAAGAACAAACTATTTACAATATTTTTACAAAAAAAAAGTAGGTGATTCGATTGATAGAAGCTCTATTCAAATTAGATACAAAAAACATAAAATCACAACAACATGCTTTCAATTAGGTATATTTACCCAATAAATATATAATGCAATAGCCCTGATGAAATGTTTTAATTGCGATACGAAATATTCTTTGTTGATTGTTAATGATGTTTGCATTCGCATTTTTTTCTTGTTCTTCACAGTTCTTTTATTGCTCTTTGAATAGTTCTAGTGACTTTCAGGCAATAAATTCTAATAAATAGGATATTATAAATATCGTGTCTTATATTCTGTGCCAAAGACAACACTTAAAACAGAATTAGCTTGAAGCTACGTCTTTGTAAGGAGTATTAATAGCAATATTATAAGTGGTATTCTGTAATTCGTATAAAAATAGGGAAGCATGGAAGAAAGACGAATAAGTCAATAAGATGAATAATAACAATTAAATTAATAGATTCTTTGTAGAGAGCAAGAAGACCAGTTAAATACAAGCAAAAGACCTATAAGTATTGACTAAACGAATATTGTCTTGAAAAAACTTTTAGTACTAGTTATCATATCCCACAAAATTTTCAGAATAGTGCTATATTCAAAAGTTAAGCAACTCCATAGTTTCTAGTAGAGTATTGATAGCTGACACGATTAGTAAAAACATTAAAATCGATATTCACGCAGCACTTTTTCAAAAAGTATGTAAACATAATTTTCTATTCATTTGATCGCAAAAACCATTGATTCTTCCGAAATATCAGATTTATCTAAATTAGAATTATTGTTGACACAATAAGCATTACGGTAATTATGCTTTTTATACTGCTAGTCGATTAAAATGGTCAAATAGTGATAGTAATAGGTATCCTCAAAACAGTCCCGGTTTTGGTGAGACCAAATTCGGGACTAAAAATAATTTCTCACGAGACCGGGACCGAGACTAAATACATTTTAGCGAGTTCCGCAAAGCTTTTGTGTTAATGAAAAATATGATTTGTGTTTGGAATTTAGTTACAATACACCGTGAATGTCAATAAATGATCGCTGAAAATTTCAAAGCAAGAAAGGAAAATGTATACATGACAATCGTCACAACTCTTTCTTTGTAATGCATGCGTTCTTTACGAAACTTCATCATCATTACCATCAATTATACCTTCAAAATAATGATTGTCTACTGATAACTGTTCATATAAATGTTTGTCATCGTTAGTTGTTGTTGTACTAGAATTAGGAAAATATAAATAGGGATTTGCAACGTGGTCGCAATCCCAGTCACACGAAGCCAGGACCTATAAATTTTCAAGCTGATCCAGACGCAGTTTTTTTTTGATCAAGAACTAGACTATAGATTTTCATTCCCATTATTTTGTTGGGACTAAGAATTTGAAAAGCAGCCATTTTTGTTTACGATTCTAATAAAAATTTTCTCTGATCTCGAGTTTGACTTCCAGAATCGAGATTTTCGACGATATGTATAAGTTTTTAAATAGGCGTACTGGTGAAATATACATAAATTTGGTTTTATAGCAATTCAACCATTCTTTCGATTGCACAGTATTTGCCATTATATTCCTATATCAAGTATAAACTATTAAGTATTTTTATTTTACTTCACTCTATTGCAAAAAGAACTTTTACTATTTGGAATTACGTGCATAAATCGAAAAGTTAATCTTAATCTCGCAAGAAATGGTTTATTTTTTAAAAAAATCGAGATCGGAAGCTTATACAAAACTTTAACCAGAACTGGGCCTGAGGCAAGGACCGGGACCAGAACCAATAGAAATTTTTGACCGGAACCGGACAGCAGTAGGCAAATTTACGAAAAAGAAAATTTTCTTCTTAAATGTGCATACTTCTGGAACTACACCTATACAAAATGCACGTTTCAGAAAATACCGTATCTACTGTCATACTATACAAAAGAAAATATAACGAAAACAAAGAAATTTCCAGGAAATTTCGGAAATTACCAAGAGATTTTAGTAATTACGGTAATTTCTAAAATTTTCATAATATTATCATGTGGGTATGATGATATATGCATAGGTTTAAAGAACCCTACCGGCAAAAACTGGAAGAAATTATGGTAATTTCGGAGATTACCAAGGAATTTTAGTAATTACGGAAATTTCTATAAATTTCATAACATTATAATATGGACATGGTGATATAAATATAGATATAAACAACTCTACCCCAAAAACGAAGAATTCATAGTAATTTCCGTAATTACTAAAATTCTTTGGTAATCTCCGAAATCACCATAATTTCTTCCAGTTTTTGCCGGTAGGGTTCTTGAAATCTATGCATATATCATCATATCCACATGATAATATTATGAAAATTATAGAAATTACCGAAATTTCTGTAATTACTAATGTTTCCAGGTAACTTCCGAAATAACCATAAATTCTTTTACGTTTTAAGTGTTGAACTCTTTAAATCGATATCTATCTTATTATATGTGTATATAATGTAATTTTAGAATTTAGAGAAATTTCCTAGTAATTACCGAAATTTCTAAGAATTTTCTGTAGAAAGTTCTTTGCGACAACTAGTTAATTTCGGAAATTTTCTCGTAATTTCGTCTACATGTGTTCGTATTTTCCGTAATTACTCAGCAATTTCCTTTTGAAGAGTTGGTATTTATAGAAATTATCTGTTATTTTTCCTTCTGTGGTATGAGTAATTACCCAAATTTACAGAAAATTTCTTTTCTGATGTGAAGGTAATTTCCAAAATTTTCAGGAAATTTTCTTAGAAGTTATCTGAAAATTCGGAAATTTATGCGGAAATTCCTTTCCAATATAATGGTAATTAGTGGAATTTCTGTAATTACGCTCATATATGATTTTAAATGGCATCATTGAAATTTTGGTATTTTCGAAACTCTGAACATACTTCGGATCGGAATCAAAAAAAATGTGGTCCCACAGATTCCTAGATGGTGACATCATAGAAAGATAGCATTTCGACTACTTTTGACTTTTTGTAACACATTTTGATCCTATTATAAACTTATCAAAATTATTTTCGTAAGTATCGTGAAAGGCAAAGATGCAGATGACGCACGCCCAGTAGGCGTACTTTTTACGTATATGCAAGAGTGGAAGGAGACTATACTAATCTGAAGCGGACAAAAAGTAACTAAATTTGTCCATTGATGCTGTTTTCATCACTGTTTGGGTATTCTGGTTGAATATGAATATAATTTAATAATTTTGATAAATATGACAACATCCCTTTCCGAAAGAGAGATGATAATCAATACTGAAATTTCCAAAATTTGGTGGTGAAATGGCCTATCAGCATAGTGATGAAAATCAATTTCACCCTTTTTTTTAGGGAGATCAAAAGCTCCTTTCTTCTATGCATCCAAATAGGAATCTTCGAAATGTAAAAGACTACTAGTAAATTGGAGCCAGAAAAGCTTGTTTAAGATCTTTTTTTCATAAGCATTCTGCTGTTCAGAGTTGAAAACCAGTTCAATATTAGATATCAAAATAGTTACTAGACTATTCATTTTTGTAAATATAGCAATCCACAACGATGTGTCACAGAAGTCACATGAAGGTGCTCGCAGGATTGAGGTGGAGTGTGGGTGTGAGATCCACACCCACATCTTATATTTCTTTTTTCTTGTATTATATCTAACGAATATTTTCAATTATTTTTTTTTATCATCAATCATTTACTTATATTATTCGTGCATATGATATTTGGCCCGAGAATGATTTCTCTTTTCATCATAATTTCTTTGGCACATTCAGTTTTTGGTTCATATCACTATGTTGGTTGTTATACACAAGTATTTTACAATAGTTATTTCATAAGTTCGTATATGGAACCAACTTTATGTTTTGTTCTATGTGAAACACCAATTATTTATATACAACACGAAATTTGTCGGTGTTCAGGTGGCGGTCTTATGGATCATAATCGACAGAGAGATGAATATTGTACAATACCATGTAGAAAGCCCGATTATCATGAAGTTAAAACAGTTAATACATGTGGGGGCAGAGGAACATATTCAGCCTATGCTGAAGAAAACTTTTATACTCAACATGCTCATTTATTTAACTTTCGAATCCAATTTGCGTCATGTGAATTATGGAATGCTTCGGGTTATTATGATATAATGCAAGTTAAAATTGATGCGTCATCAGTAAAATATTCATTGAATAAATTGGAACGATGTGCAGCTACATGTCTAGATCAAAATGCTATGATAAAATCAATAGGTAAAAGAAAACATGTAAACGACAAATAATCATTGAATAGTTTTCTCATATTTATAGGAAATCGAATCTTTTTTCATCAGTACTATTTATCCTAATATTCTTTAAATTGCTTTTCATATCGCTAATAGAGTATAGAAACAGAAAAACTTCATTTTGTAGAACATCACTGAGAGAAATTAATTATTGAAATTTGGAACCATTTGCTAGATATGTGACTCCTACTTATGCGCTGTAAATATGACATTTATTTAATTATCGGACAGCTTACATACTAAAACATCTAGAATATGATACATCTCATTTGACAATGGTCAAAAACTAGGTTAACAGAATTAAAACAAGTATTTTCTAGAATGATTCTTCTGATTAATAAAAGTAAATTAGTTAAATGATCGAGCTAATGCCGAATTTTTTAAAAAGTACTAACGACCATTTTTTGAATAACTTTTCAACAATCCAAGCTATAGAGGTCAGGCTTTCACCATTAGGAAGAGCAAGGTGGAGGACATCGATCTGTATAAAATTCATTAGATTTACGGATCTTTTGTATAGTTGTTTGCAGTCTAATATCTTATTTGTCGTCTATTTTCATCAGTTTTCATGACAAGTTAACATCAAATCAGACCAAAATGTAGCTCAAATCGTCCTATGTTTGCAAATAAGATATCAGACTGCAAACAATTATGCAAAAGATCCGTAAACCTAATGAATTTTATACAGATCGACGTCCTCCACCTTGCTCTTTCTAGCGGTGAAAACCTGATCTCTATAGCTTGGACCGTTGAAAAGTTATTCAAAAAATGGTCGTTAGTACTTTTAAGAAAATCCGGCATTAGATCGGTCATGACCTCTTAATGAGTTTATTGGATCGTATTGAGAATATTGGAAACGATCTTTTTTTTAGGCATCTATCGTACATCGGTTTCATTTATCATTTTTTTGCTTATTTGCATTGAGTGACATCAGAATAAGTTATTGATAAGCTTTAACATATATACGCACAAATAGTGGCAGAGCCGATGTTGAAGGCCGTATGTTTCATCAAAATAATAGCAATCATTGACAGAAAATAAGTAGAGAAAACAAAGTATTCCAGTTACGTATTCTGAAAATCGAACATAATGTTGATACAGCACAAACTTCAATGCTTGAATACTGAAAAGGATTATGGTCTAGCAGAAAATATAACATGTTCTAATAGAAATAATCTATGCTGAGAATTATCTCTAGTATTTAAAAGCTAACATGCTCGTTCTAGTGAATATCTCAGACCCAGTTGAAAGCATTCTTTGATCTATCGGAACAATTTTAGTGATGCTCTTGAGGAAAACACATCCGTTTTCGCGATAGAACAACATTTTTGGACAGTTCATCTAAGAGAAGTGAACTATTAGAACAGATCTTATAATATCGTACGATTTCTCAGTATTATTGTTTCGTTCATTCGATCTGAGCTGTAAAGTAGGGAGTAGTTGGCCTTTCATAGTATTTCTGATATCTGATTTCTTTGAGATTATTCTTCCATAAAGTAGCTTTACTCTGTTATTGTATTGAAAAAAAAATAATATTCAAGTTCGAAAGATGATTACAAACGTTCGCTTTATTTTTGATTTATTAATTTGTGAATTATAACATGCATAAAAATCTAGATAAAAATAACTATATACCTAAAAAAAAACAAAGAAATATGAAAATTTATCTTTAGCTTTCAACAGTGATATCAATCAATGCTTATGTATAATACCTCGAAAATCATTTCCAGATTTTGGTCGTGCATTTTATTTAACAATTTTACCAAGTTATAGTTGTGATCATTATTGTGATAACACATTGGACGATTCGAAAGTTAAACATAAATTTAAATGTGGTTCATTAACAGATTCACGTATATGGGCTATATATGATTTAAATGGTATATGTCCGATTGATTCCTTTTATATAAAAGAATTAAAAAAGTGTATATCAACCCGTTACAGCTTGGCAAGATCATGTCCTTTTTCATCAATGGAGTTTGTTTATGATGAAAATTTATCCTGGAATATTTTTCTAAAAATTATTGAAAAATTAAACTTAACTAAATCCATTGTTTCAATTGATTTTGATGATGATGTTACTATTGATCCTTCTTGGAAATGTCCAATAACAACAGCAACCAATACAAGGAATTCAAATTCTCTTAAAACAAATTATTTTAAAAGGAGTTTTAGAAGATCTTATGTATTAGATAGCGGCTGTTTACGTGAATTTGAACATTTCTACCACTTGTTAGTGACGTAACCAGGATTTTTGTATATGCCGGATCTCAGCTTCAGTGCATGGGATCCAGATGGAACCTATGGGGGATGATGTTAGACCTAAATGATGAGTTTTTATGAATAAATTTTTTTGCGATTGAGCTTTGCGAAAAAAAGTTCTTTTTTCTGAGTTTCCTAGGATTTTTATTTTGTTCTTAGTAGTATTTCGTTGTTTAGAATTTAATAATAAACTACATCAAATTTTATTGACAGATTTTAAATTTCATCTAGATATATGGACTCGTTCAGAAGTTATAATGTTTTGAATATTTCCTAAAATTTTAGCAACATGTAGCAAAAATTCAAAACATTATAACTTCTCTATCATTTAGGTCCAATATCATTCTCCATAGGTTTCATCTGGATCCCATACACTGAAGCTGAGATCCGACATATACAAAAATCTTGGTTACATCACTAACTCTTGTATTCATATAGATTCTCAAAGCGTTTATGCATAACAAATTCTATGAATGAGAATTCGTCATCATATAGTACTAGTATTTATCCAACTTATACACCAAATTTTAATATAATGGCGGCTATGTGTGGACGACATTGGTTTGACATAAACAATCATTGTTATCGGATATCCGATGACCGTAAAACCATTCGAGAAGCAAGAAATAGTTGTATTTATGTGTCAACAGCTGAAACAGATATTATGTCAAATGATGACGATGATGATATGAAGAAGGAAGCAAAAAATGAAATCAAGAATTCTATGGCTAATATCCATAAAGGTGAAATCGCTCGATATACGTCACAATGGCAAGCTCGTCTTGGTTTCTTTCTTCTTGATACAAGTAAATTCTCTGAGGAAAATCTTATTGATTGATTAGGAGAATAAACAGTAGACAATTAAGATTATGTTAGACACGAGCAAACATCTTAAAAAATAGAATTTGAGGGATTTAGTTCGATTATCATGTTGCCGACTTATTCACACTACTGTTGGTATGTCACTCATAGAACAGCTATGAATATGCTGCACTTTAATGATGAGCTGAAGATAGCTGACTATTCAATCGTACTAGACTGAATGATCTACTGATGGTTTTTGTTTGGTTGAAATCATCCCGGTTTATTGAAGTAGCAATCAGAACTGAAATGAGTTGTTGTTGTATTGTAATAGAACTATACTGCATACAACATGAGTACCTTTATTTTTATTGATTCTCTCTGAATTTATTAAATTAGATATTCCTGTTTTCTTTATAGGCTACAAAATTTTGTGTCATTTTTTTAAATATATACAAAAACTTTCATCGTTTCATAAAGATTATTCTATAAATCTAATAGAAAACTAATCTGCCTATTAAAAACAATCCATATTCACATTGTTCATAGATATGAATATTTGAAAACATTCTTTACAATGTATGAAAATAAGTTAAGATTCTCACCTAACCATTATATGACCATTTAATATGTGACGAATATATCGTTTAGTTTTCTCTGAAGACTCTTAATTTTAGAATAAAAAATATCCGAAAAATAATTTAAACTTCAAATAGATAAAAAAAAAAAGACAGATTCTGAGTATCACATAAAACCTAATGAACAGGAGTGCACTTTAGATGATTCGTAACGATAACTGAATTAATCTTTTCTTAGATCCGTCAAATACTAAATCAAATCTTCAACAATTTGGACCATATACTCAAAACTCGTCAGCATTGTTGTCCAATGTTAATACCAATCTCTCATCGATAGATGAATTTCAAATGATTAATTCAAATGAATATAATAACTCAAACATAGAAAATGATTCATGCTTAGTTTTAATACGCACAGTAATCGACGAAAAAGGAAGTTCTATTTTAAAAAATACTCAAATTAATAATTGTTCGAAGCCAAGACATGTTTTATGTAAAGAAGAATCAATGCTTGGTTTTAACTCTGTACAAAACTGTTACAGTAAACCCTTAACACTTGGTTTACCAGTAATGATATCAAATCACTTAACATATGAATTATGCTCATCTGTTTGTCAAATATTAGAAACAGATTTAGCTGTTATAAATATGAATAAATGTTATTGTTTCGATGTTACTCTGTTACATATATTTGATATGAAAGGAAATCATGCAAAATATCAAAGAAAAGACTGTGGAAATCCTTGTCCGGGTATGTTTGATAGATGCATATTGATGTTTTTCTTTTCTGAAATCAATGAAACTATATTTCAACATCATATTAGTGAGAAAAATCTTCAAGATAGTGTTTTACCAATAATTAAATCGAAAAAGAAAGATTAGAGTTTCTTTCTCAGTGATAATTCAGTTTTCTAGTTCCAGCTTTTACATCGATCCTAGATTAATATTAGTTCCAAAAATAAACCAGGCGAAGTTCGATTTATTTTCGTTAATTATTACCTCCTAGATGATCACCATTCACATTATTCCGTAATGACGTGTTGATTTGCTGATTTATTTTCAAAATTTTTTCTAACCACTCGAAAATCTTGATTTTTATTTCATTGTAAATTTCTTTTCGAAGTTGAATCGAATCTTCAAAAAAATAATCAATCGACATTGTGGATCAAAGTGCTTCGGATTAATCTCTAACTCGGCTAGGTTCAGATCAGAAAATCTTCGAGTGATAGACTTCAGCTATTTGATTGATTTTTATGCTGTAATAACTATAAGATAATAAGAAAAAATCGAGAGAACTTATCTCATATATTTGAAGTAAATGTTCAATTTTGATTAGGAAACTTCAATGGGCATCAAAATAACATTAGACATATCTGAAAAAATGAACTATAAGTTTTCCATGATATATGACTACGGAATACGATGTATATAGGCTTATAGAGATAGACTTTCTCTAAGTCATAATGTATTGATTGTTAAGGTCTACTTTGTACGTTGGTATTTAAATATTTGGCCCAATTTCTGCCGCAGTCATAATAGACTGTGGCGGAAGTGTTGTCAACCGCTGACATAACAACGGTGTGGTCAAGTATTTGATAACGCATACACTATGAGATAGTGGATGTTTGTCAGGAAGCCCACATATATTTTATTGTGTAGTCAATATATCACAGTCGTCTTTGAGTTAATCAGATTTGGATCCTAAAAGTGTTTTATGACTTAATGCTCAAGTCCGAAATCTACGAAATTGAATGACTCTACTGTAAACAGTAGTATTAACAGATTCATTTTCATTCATGAATATATCTGGTAGAAAAAACTATAAATTTATAACTTTTATGTTATTTTCTTTACTTTCTTACTCTAAAAAAGCAATCGTCCATCTGATTTGAATTTGCACATATACGTAATTAAGTGAATAATAACATATATTCATATAATTATGTACAATTTTAGGTAATCAACATGAACGCTGTGGTAATATAGATACAATTGTTGTTTTACACATAAGTGTTTTTCACCATTCGTCTAGATATAACTTAAATAATAAACAAGCTAAATCATATCCTGATTTTTTTTATCATAGTTGTATACATTTAAATTCTGTCAATCAATCAGCAATATATCAATTCAATTTAAATCGTATAAAAGATATTCATCCACGTCATTGTTTAGAATTATGTACAAAGTATAACCAACAATATGCTCTTCTGAATTCAAATAAATGTTTATGTACCAATATCCCAATGAAAAAACAACAAAATAATATATTTACAATTCAAGATTATAATTGTACTCAAGAATGCCAAAGTAATTATTTTTATACATGTGGAGATGCAAACAATTCAGATATATATTCAATGTATGTTATGCCAACAAAATGTCCTCATAGTAAGAACAGACAACATCAAAACTTCTTAATTAAGTAAAAATAATGAAATTTTCTTTTGTTTTTTAGACTTTCAAATTACTGAAGATAAACGACGATGTGTACATACTGATTTTTCAGCACGCAAAAACTCTTTCTCAAGTGCACAATCATATTGTAAATCTATTGGTGGTATGCTTGCAAAAATAAATGATATTTTAGAAATTCAAGACGTAGTACCCATACGAATGCTGATTAGAAGTCATTTTAACGAATTTCCATTTTCTGATGTTTCCAATGTACTTAATGATACCAAATATTTTTGGATTGATCGTACATCGAATATCATAAATAACAACGAAACACCAGATCGTTCTATTAGAAAATGTTCACAAACATCAAAATCAATTGATGAATATTGTATTGTTCTTCATCGCAAAAAGATTCTCATTGATAATATGTTGACTTATGAACAGTGTTTTATTGAATCAGATCAATGTTCATCAATATCTGCTATACCAGTTTGTGTTGATAAACATCTGGAATTTAATTCAACTGCAATTCTTCCAACTACAGATAATGATTCATCAATCGTATCAGTTAATACATCAACAGGTTATTCATGTGGTGATGATACAGATTATCATTTTATGAACGGTCTTTGTTATAAAGTATCCTTTCACGAAACTACTTGGAATGAGGCAAAAACTGAATGTGAACGTGATAATGCTATATTATTTCTACCTGAACACCTTACGACATTGCTCTTGATAAAGTCCTTAGTTTTACGTCGGCATAGTTACACATCCTCTGGTGTTGCACATCTGGATATTTTTTATGATAATCGAAACCGTACTATTAGACGATGTAGTACAATCAATGGAAGTTCTTTACCAAGCGTACTAGATTTCAATAATTTTCATACTTTATGTGGAAAAACATTTGATCAACATTATGAAAGATTTATGTCATCATCAGCTTTATCACCAAACGATGAAGACCGTCTAAAAACTCAGCAAATTAGTTGTGCATACGTTAATTTTTCATCTGATTCTACACCATCGATTTCATATGATCAAAAAACCTGTAATCGACCAGCAACGGTAATATGTCAAAAATCACCTACTGTAAAAATACGTGCTGTTGCAGCAAAACGGTTAGTTATCAATACAAATGCTTGCATAGTATAATTAAAATTTTCCTTGCTAACGATAAAATTTCTTTAGATAAGTCGAAAATCCTGACAAAAAAGGAGAATTAGTCTGTATATCGACAGAGCATTGTGCTGCAGTATATTTTGTACGATCCTCGAGACAATAAATATATCAGCAAATATTAATTAATACGATCAATACTTGAATGATGTAAATTTCTTCGTCGGAATCAGATATTCATCTAGAAGATACAATGCATTTTTTCCCTTTTTTTTGTCCATTCGATGGGACTAGAATCCGGTGGGCTCAATAGCCCGTCTGATGGCGATTTTATGTCACTCTGTTTTAACTCTAATCTAGTTGAACAACTCTGATAGTAGTAAGATACAGATGTGTATGGCAAATGGTTTTTGTATTGTAAAGCCTGACTGAGAAAATTTCTAGTCCTTACTCTATACATGTCAATTGTAGAGAATTGTACATTGATTGTGAACTTTTCTTTCCACCGATAATCCGCAGTTCACCATGGGTTTAAGTAAAATGAGCGTATGTTATTCTATTTTCTTTCAAATAGTGTCATCACTATTGATTTTGATTGATAATATCAAAAGTCTTTCTCCCGTAATCTTCAATAAAGAATTATATCGGTTGTTTTCATTTCATATTTGATGATTGTTTGTGAAAAAAATTTTATACTGAGACTTAATCAGAATTGCATTATAACTTTCCAAGTGATTTGACTGTTGATAAGAAAAATCATATTTATGATAGGATGCTATTACTATATTTCTATTCATATTACAAAAAGAAAACATACCCATTATTCAACTTCATTCAAAATACTGAATTAATGGTCTTCTCGAATTTTATCATATGTCTTGTATTTATTTATAGTGATTATACTAACTTTTCAATGAATTATAAGTCAAGTCTTACATCAAATGATGAATCAAATTTTCAAAAATTTACTAAAAATACAAAGAAAGTTTTCGCATTGATTATCTTGATTTGTTCAATTGTGTTTGTCGTTACACTCTCTGGATTTATATATATATTATGCAAGCATTATTTAATGCGAAAGAATAATAATAAACTTCAAACGGATACAGTTAACAATGAATATATTTATTCTGAACTATTAATCAAAGATGCATTAGATTCGAATTAGAATCATCTTTATTTTTCATTCATTATATCGCTATTTTATCCATAATCTTCATTGTGAATGGAAGTTTTTTTCATTGATTTTTTTTCATTGAATTTATGAACACATCAAAAATTACTTCATCATTTCTTTTACACTTGACATGTCATTTTATTCGATTATCAATAATAAACTAGACTGACAAACAACTTATAGAAAACAACCAATAATGATAATGACAAAGAGAAAAAGAAAAATTAGTGCATTTATTACAAAAGCTTGTTAGCGTAGGCCCATCGCGGCTGAAATGTGGACCTGATATGCTTTCTTTAGCTTCATTGAATTAATATAAAATATACAAAGCATGAAAACTCTAAAAGACGATAGTTCTTGTGAGTGTAGATTTGGGTAGGCCAACACCACACACCCTTCGAGTGGAATAGCGTCATGAAAACATTGAATTGACGGTGTCTAAGTTAGAAAGGATAGTAAATAAGGAGGGACGAAAAGGTTTTTAACTAGATACATGAGTGTTTCGAAGGTATTTGATAAACGAATGAAGCGCTACACTTATGTTTGGCGCAATTTTATCAGGTTATCTGTTCGGAATTTGTAAAGATAACAAAGTGAACATGAAATATAAAAAGAGACACTTAGATCTGTGATACATTTGCAGGTGGATGTAGGTGTAGGTTCGAATCTTCTCTTTGTCCAGATCCATACCCATCCTTCTTTCATTTATTTTCACAAGTTGAGAAATAATTAATCGATTTTTATTATATTTATAAAAACAATAAAAACATAATGTTCAAAACATTTGTTCTTTCACAGCTATAATATTTGTTGAATCATTGATATATCCAAAAATAAATTTTAGATCAATATAATCAGTTTCAGCAATTGAATCTTTACAATATGACCAATAACAAAAATTCAATGAGCTTGTAGAAATTCTGTTGCAGGAAGATGATATTACTAAAATAAATGAATAACAAAATTCAAATATCTGACAACGATGCTTCTCAAAATCTACAGATAATTCAAAGCTCGAAAAATTCTAAGAATGTGAAGCTATACTAAACTGTGTTGTCAGAAGGAGCCGAGAGCACCGTAAAGAAAAGGTTATTTTCGCTTTGTGGAAACTGTTCAACTCGCATTCTCATCCAGATGTTTAAACGTTTTTCAAACTTGAGTAGATACATGAAGTGCGGATCAAAATGATGTATCCACTTCTTATTAAAAAAAATTGTTGAAAACTTATCCAAAAGTGTAAAAAAGCGTTTTTTTGTCGTCTGGTTTTTGTGTACTGTCCACTGATCTGTCTCAACTCAATTCGCATACAATACAGCGAAATATATCGGTAAATTTGATTGTAGATTTTATTATATATTAAAAACTGAAATCAACATACTTTGACTAATATTATTTACACCAATAATGACTCGTTTTTGATTCGATTGAATTATTTGAATCACTAGATTTTCTTGTCCATGGACGAGAAAAGATAAACAATAGATAAATGATGGATAAGAACTATAAAGTCTTGCATCTGTTGTATTTATACGTTGAATCATAGTTGAATTATTTTTATCTATAAAACAAGAATCTTTGACTTCAATTATTCCTGATGTGATATTCCATTGATTTAAACCTTGTTTATTATCTCCATTTTTAATAAATGTTTTATTTCGTGCATAAGTACCATTAGGTAAAATTGTATTATAAACAAATAAATCTTGACTTATTTGTTCATTATTTATAGTTGATTGACTTAAATTTGCTCGAATTAATTGAATATTGTCTGCAGATGCTCCTATAAAATCAGCTTTTTGTAATTCTACACTGACAGATTTAACTCGAGATAACTTTATATTAGAAAAATTAACTTCAATGGTTATCGGTATCGTTGAAGATATGATACATCCAAACACAAAATTTCTTCAACATCTTATTCGCGAACTTTACTTTTCTGAAAGATAGTCTAGAAGAATGCAAATAAAATTCATTGTGTTTAATGAATCAAAATTAGCAAAATGTTTTGCTTTAACTAACAAAATTCAGAAGTCTTTCTGATTCATAATGATCAGACTAAACTTTGGTCACCAGTGACGTAAGCAAAATTTTTGCATCAATGGGGAACATCTCTTGTGTCAGAAAAAAAACAATGGGCAAAATGAGCACGGTTTTTATTGAGAGGCAAACAAATGAAATGCGGTTCTTTTAATCCAATATGCGTCAAACTGAGATCTTAAGGTTGAGTAAGGTGTGTTTCAATCCATTTTTAATGTCTCTGTTTACAACATTTGCATTTCAAAGGATAAATGGCGGTAGGATCATTTTTTCGCCTTTATTGTTTTTGACTAAAAACCACTTGAACATAGCAGATTGACCATGAGGGAATATCTTATGTGATTCACCTTTGAAAAATTTGTCCAACCGGTTTCCCAGAGTCTGGATCCCTTCAGGGATTGGTCGGCAACTCTTTACCTCTATTTCTTGAGAATAGGGGTGAGTTTAGAAAAAACTCTATCAAAGCACAAAACATAAATGAATCTTAAAAAGGATTATCTATAATCATTCCACTTTTCCACAAAATTCTATTCATCTTTGTCTTACTTGGGTTCTTTTTAAGAATTCTTTTTACTTCCTCATGCAATAAAATCATACAGTTTGAACTCATCCTTGATCTTCGCCTTAAGACTAAGTGAATTGGTATTCGATGTATGCTCCATATTGCTGAATCTCAATGGATTGAATCCGCTCGATAGGCGAGTGTCACAGAAACTGAAATATAATATGAAGACGGTGTGTTTGATAGTAATGATGCAAATGAATTGCTATCTGCATATAGGGTATCATTATTGACTATTATTCTAAAAGTATCACTTGCATGCTTTAGTTGTCTAACATATTTCTCTTTTATGCGTTTGGTGATGACATTTTTCTTTTTTGTTGTTTCTGCTACTCATGAACAGCAGGCGAAGATTGTTATTGAATTCATTAAATGGACGATAGTGCATGGTAAATTGTACATAGGCCAGTAGGAATAGTGGAATCAAAGAAAATTGAAAATCCTCATTCTCTTCATGTCTAATGTAACTATTGAAATCTAACATAAGGCATCATCAATAGTTGCCACTATGGTTCTGTATTTCATCATATTGCCATCGGTCGGATTCATGAATTCTTCATCAATACCATTCAAAATTCCTTGTAAAAGAATTATATAGATATTTCATCTTTTTATGAAAGAAAATCATTGAATTATTTATTATTTCTCATAAAATGGGTTTAATGAGCAATAGTCGTCTCTTATTCATCTGAATATTCTAAATATTTACACATATTTTGCCACGTTGATACTATTGCATCATGTATGAAGAAAGAAAAAAGAAAAAATACAGAATAACATGCTATAATTACTTATATACTATTTCGACAGCCTTTCAGAGAGAAAAGAAAAAAACAAACTCTGCGCTCTTATGTGAATATTTTTTGATTTTTTGCAACATCTAGTTTCAGTACATGTCTTCTTCGAATTAAAAATGATGATATCTTCAAAAAAATCTAAACCTACAGCGATAGGTCAAGAAAATGTCATTACATTTGAGTGATATTATTTTAGTTTTTCTCCATGTTTCATCTTTATTCGATTATGCTGATGTTTTTTTTACACGTTACTCTAGTTACTTCACCATCAATAAAACAAAGTCAAAAAGAATAAATGAGAGAGAACTATTAGATGTGAAAGAGAATAGAGTTTCGGTCAACTTCGAGTTTTCGAGTCTAGCTTTATAAGATTGAACTCGAAGTTTGTGTCAAGTTCTATCGAGCCGAGAGTCGTGACTGAGTAGTCTGTTATAGGCTGTGAGCCTTCCTGTGTATTTATTTTCTTTTTTTCTTTCTGTTGTGTTACTATTTCGTGTCCCTTCTCTTCTCATTCAGTATTATGCAAATAGATTATTCATACAGCACCTGTGTTGTTCTAGTTCTTTCTTTTTTTTTCTTGCTTTCGTACATCGAGTTTCTTCGTTATACATTCATTCACTTCTCTCATCATTCTCTATGTGCCATTATTTCTCTCTTCTTATTATTCATTCGAATTAAAATTTGAACTAAATTTTAAAAGAAATTTTAGTTTGTAGTGCTTCCAACTAACAATAAGATTCCATTATTACTGACTTCAATCATGAGCAATTCTAATGATTCTACAACAGCAATAAGTGTCGAAGGATCTATTCCTGCTGCTTCAAATAGTAATGAAGATATTATTAATATCAATAAACCAATTCGTTTATCTTCTCTTCCTTTAATGTCCTTAGAACAAGCAAAATTATTTGCTTGTCATATTGAAAACTTGTATGAACAATCTCTAAATGATAAAACTGTTTGTCCAATTGAAATAATTTATGAAAAAGTTCTAATGAAAAATGCAGAAACTAAACAAGAAGAAATTAAATTTGACGAATATAGAGTTTATATTCCTAATGGAGATACAAAATATGATCGAGAAAAATGGCGTTCAGAAACAATTCAAAAAGGAGAAACTCTTTGCACTTATGAACTTCAAAATCAAGAAGCTGATTCAAAATTATCAGAAGAAGACAAAGGATATAAATTCTCTGTTAGATTAACTGGATATCAAATTGGTAAAGGTCATATGTATAAATCAGAATTAATTAATTACTTAACAAAATTTTGTGTTTGTCCGGTTATATTTAAGCAAACTGATAATAACAAAATAGAATTATTTCATAGAAATTTAATTATTCAAAATGAAGATTACACAAATTTAGACCTATATGGATTCCAATCATAGCAACAATACGAATATTGTTTATTCATAAAATCATTAGTATTCAATCAAGAATCGAAAATATTATAACTAGAAATATTTTGTTACTTTTAATTTAAATATATTTCTTCAGCAAAACCAATCTTCACCACATATGCTCGATCACAGCATTTCACATATGTCTGCGTGTGCCCATTGCGTTCTTCTTAACGCAGCATACATTCTAATATCTTCTTTTTGATTCAGATTGATGGTAACAGAGTGTTCATCCAGATCCTCTAACTTTTCTAGCTGAGTTATTCCTATAAATTCAAATTATTAGCCTCACCTTATATACCCATCAATCATACTGTCATGTTTCCCATGTTGTGATGCATATTTTGGTACAATTTGCCCGAATTCAGTCGAGTACAGGAGATACAGCAACTGTTTTTTTTTCGAATTAATGCAAGATCTACAATATAATAGAATAGAGTAGAAAGAAATGTGGTTTAGACAGATTAAAAACTGTTAGATGATATGTTGAATATATACAGCTTGAGTCATAAAATTTTATTCAAAGTTATACAAATAATATAAATAAAAACTTTCATGAAGTTTACGGTTAAATTTACTAAAGAAATTTGTTGTATTATTAAACAAGAAAAATACATGTGAAGAGTTTCTTAGGTAGTTTTGAGTTGTTATCTAAGAGAATAAAAAGAAATAAAAAACAAACTTTATAAACCATATAATGTTGATGCAAATAGAGCAAATTGTCAGAAATAGTGAGTTTAAAAATCAAAGATTCCAATATTTCGAATTTTCAGATATGGAACGTTTGATTTTTGCATGGAAATTGAAGATTCACTGTCTAAAGGGCTTCAATTATGGATTTTAGTTTTCACTCAGCAATTTTCGCATGTATACAAACTATTTCTGAAAGTTTACTCTATTCGCATTAATGCTGTATTATTCATATAATTTGTCTTGATTTCTTCATGTTATTCTCTCCTATACGAATGAAAAATCCTATTCATAATGATGAGAAGCAAGCTCGTCCGCCATCATCATCGAAATTCTCACTTATAAACTAATTACTTGTAATTCTTTTTTTTGTTTTTTGGTTTACGTAGATTGATGGAACAAATAAAATCATGTTTTTATATACAATGTCATTAAAAACAACTCATAAAATCTCTATAATGATGAATGTAAATTTTCGGATATTAATAATTTTGGTTTTTTAATAATATTCCTACATTCAATATTCTAACAGTAGAATACGTAAAATTTCGTGGAACAGTTCTTTTTCAGATGTCATCAACACAAAACAAATGAAAAACAAAATAACATCTTTGTTAATTCATACTGACTTTCAACGAATGTTCTATGAATAATATTGATCCAAACTAAAGCATATGATTTTTCTTCTGGATTATCTGAAAAAATAGTTTTATGGTAGATCTTTCTAGTAGAGTTATTTTGTTTAAGTATATCATTAATATTCAACGTCATTTGTTTAGTAAAACTCTAACATCAGATGCTGTTACTTTACTTTTATTGTTTTGTTTATCTCTATTAATATCTAATTTGCATGTTCAATGTTTGACATATGTTTCAAAACAAAAGAATCAGATATAACTGTTATTCATAGAGATATTGATTTACAGAAACTCGATTATAAATAAAAACAAGCATATGATAGATTGTACATATGAAATACAGATTTGATTAGAAATGAAATAAAAATCTACATACAGTTTATTCGATGAAGTTCTCAAAAACCAAATTTCGCCGTTATAAACATAATGCAAAAGAACAATATTAAAGTTTGATTATTAAATTCGAAAAGATGATATTATTCCTTAAGATATTTTAATGTTGAATTGATTTAAATCGAAAATTTGATACATAATAAAATATCGTTCAGAGTTATACAGTACTGTTACTTTTGGGTGTATACAGTTTAGAATTATTTTCAATCTGAAAATACTAATACAGTAAAAATATATTGTTGAATTGAAAATCTGATTCAACTGTGTGAGCATTTCGTTGAACGTCCTTTCTTTCCATTAAAGAAATAATAGTTAGAACAAGAATTATTTTTCTTTATATGATGGATCGATACGAATGAATAATTCTGTTAGTAACTGAAGTAATTAATGACTCTTCGTCGTTTGGCGTGATTAGTATAACAATTGCATCATTATCTCAATCTTTGAAATCAATTTTCTATTCTCAATTAAAAAAAAAATAACAATAAGCAATACCGCTAACTTTTTCTTGAAATATAATTAGATTTTCGGTAAGCTTTTAATTTCTACTTGCTTTTTTTCATGGGAACTTCAAAAGTTCATCAAAGGAACTTATTTTGTTTTCTACGTTGACATGACTATTTTTCATTTCTTTTTCGATTAAACTCTATTGTTCTCAATAATTATTCATTCTCGAGATCATTTTGTATGGAAAAATTAAGTGGCTCGAGAATTACAAAGTAAACTACTTGTTAGCTCGTTTCACGAGCTTATACTTGTTTACTTTATTTTATTCTAAAATGTCCTTGAAATTACGTACATATATATATATAACAATAGAGAAGAGAGAAAAAGGAGAAAAAGAAAGAGATATAACAATAACAGTGTTGGAAGAATAAAAGAAGAAAGAGAAAGAAGAGAGAGATAGCTGGATGATGAATCACCGCTAACATTCCTCCTCTCTCCTATTAGATGTGTGTCCTCACACATCCGTGAGTTCATGTATTGTATGTTCTGATATTAATAATTGAGTTTTATTATTTGCCTCTCGAAGAGTTATATTTGATTGTTCAATTGTTTCTTCTTATTCGATTTGTTTATTTGCTAATGATGGTGTACGTTCACGTTGATTTAATTGATGTTGTTTAAGAACACGTTGTGCTCGAATTTTATAATCATTAATTTCATCTTGAAGTGTATCATGATCTTGTTTTGCAATATCTAAATCATGTTTAGCAATACGTAAATTTTGTTCTAATAAATTAATAGTTCGTTCACTTGTTTCATAATAATTATTTAATTCATGTTGTTGTTTTAATTTTAATGAAAAAATTTCATCTTGATCTTGTGTTGCATTTAATAATAATAATTTTTGTTGTTCTAAATTATTTTCTAATTGATTTGTTTGATTTTCATATTCTTTAAAAAGATTTGCTTTTAATTTTTCATGTTGTTCTAATTCAATTTTAAGTAAACGAATATTTTCCTCACGTTCAATTAAATAAAAATGTTGATGTTCATAATCAATTTTTAATTTTTCAAATAGTTCATGTTGTTGTTTTAATTCAAGATCTTTTCATTAAGATTTTCAGTTAATTGTTTTAATTGTTCTTCTAATTGTGTTTGATGTTCTTTGCATTGTTCATAGGTATTATTTGAATAAAGACGTTTTCTCATTGAGATATTTTTTCTTCATCTATTTTAATAATGGATCATATTGAGAACGTAAACGATTACGTTTATGTTCAACTTCTATAGATACAAATTTAACATTATTGAATCCTAATCGAATGACTGCAGAAGCTTCCTGTTCAATTGATTTTTCAATCATAATATGCCAATCATTATTAATTCTTCTACTGTTTCGATTGATGAATAATGGTGAAGAGGAATAATTGTAAAATTTGATGGTGATTGAAAAGGCGGATATTCTGCCCGTAGTTCTTCGTTTTTTTCCATTCGACGAGTAGTTTTCATCCAATTCTTTTGTTGTTGTGGATTTAAATCATAGAAGTATGGTGGTGGATTAGATGAATTTCTTGTTAAGGCAGACATAATAAATCACTATAATAAATGTGTGTTTGTTTTGTATATCGAAAAGATCAAATGATGTATAACTTTGTATATATAGATATTCGATTTTTTATCCATATATAAAATTTTTCTTTCCTTGATATATAAGGACAGTTCCATTGTTATCCATATATAAAATTTTTTCTTTCCTTTTGATGTGGAATATATGTATATATCATGTTAATGTTCAGTTAATAGTAAAGTCGTCCAACTGGAACACGTGAATTATTGTTCGCACTGTACAGTATGGCCAGTACTATAAAAGTGCTTCAATTATAATGCATTGTGATTGGTGGATGAGTCATCGCGTATAATATATTGATCCGATGACTAATATGCATGAGATAAAGTCAATTTAAATGAATTTTTGAGTTTGACAGCCCCTCCTTGTCAGTGAGAAGGTGAAATTCTGTCTCCCCGGCATGGACTGCTGAATCGAACTCAATTATTTTTTAATTAATTTAACTAATAATTCTATAGTATATACGTGCATATATATATAAAAAATTTTTTTTTTGTTATTATATATACATGTGTATATATATAAAAAATTTTACTTTTATCGATGCACATACTTTACTCGTTATACTATCATATCCCACATCTTTCCCCTTCTGTTTGAGGATGTGTGTTATTAAATTAAATTCCATCGTTCCACCAAAGGAACGATAACATCCATTGTTACTTGTCTCGTTAATGTTAATTTTTTTACATGTTGAACAATGAATGTTTTATGTCCCAATTGTTTAATAATTTTAAATGGACCTTCATATCGTATATCGAATTTGTTTCTAATATTTCTTGTTTTAATTAAAACTAAATCATTAATTTTTAATACTAATTCTTGTCTATGTAAATCATATCGAGCTTTATATTGTTGTTGATTTTTTATAATATTGTTCCGAGCTTCATTTACTAATTTTTCAATATATATTCTAATTTTTTGACCATGCTCTGCATCTTGTGTGAGCGAAATAATTTCTTTTTGTTGATCAAATGGAAGAGTAACTTGTCGTCCATGCATCATTTCAAATGGTGTTTGCTTTGTTGTTGCATGTATTGATGTATTATAATTAAATGTGACGAATTGTAATACTTCATCCCAGTCGGTACGTCGTTCATTACATAAAGCTGCTATTTTTCCATCCATTGTAGCATTAAATCGTTCGATTTGTCCATTCGTTTGTGGATGATATACTGTTGAATATAAATGAGTAACTCCAAGATGTTCAAATAATTTGTTCGTAAGTTGAGAAGTAAAATGAGTACCATTATCAGTTAAAATACATGTTGGGGTTCCATATTTTAATATAACATCATTACTAAGAAATTTCACTACTGTTGTTGCTGAACAATCTCGAACGGCTTTTGTAATAACAAATTTTGATAATACATCTGTAAGAGATATTATGTATCTGTTTCCTTGTTTTGATGTTGGAGTTATTGGACCATGAAAATCCATACTTAATAATTTCCATATTCCTTCAGGTGGTGGTATTGGTTTTAATTTTCCTGGTAATTTTTGACGACGATAATTATTTTGTGCACATGGTAAACATGAATTAATATGATTTCTAATATCAGCTATCATTGTTGGCCAGTAATAACGTTCTTGAATTTTTCTTGTTGTTTTGTCACGTCCAAAGTGAGCTCCATTAGCAGGTGTATCATGATAAATTTTTAATATATCACCACGTATTCGTCCTGCTGGAACATATGGTACAGATGGAAGTGGTAGTTGTTGTTTTCTAAATAATATTCCATCTTCGATAGAGTAATGTTTTTTATTCTTGATATTCTTTTTTATTTCTTGAGTTGTTTTATCTTCTTCTTGAAGTTTTCTTAAATCATCCATATCAAATGGAATGATCTTGTTTGGATTATCATCTGGTTGTTTGATTACCATTTCTTCATCAGTCGCTGCTTTCCCTTGTGGGATGAGCTCATTAATTTTTTCATCTGTTGGTTTAATAGATGGTGTTGCCATTGCTTGTTGTTGTAATTTGGCTTGAGCTCTCGTAACCGCTGTTGTTATTTTTAATGGAATTAAGTTATTATGCACTGATGAAAATGATAAATCTGTTTGTGTTGATGCAGATTCATATTGAGTTCGTTCTTCAATATCTTCTTCAGCTGTTTCGACTGGTGATCTTGAAAGATAATCTGCCATATTGTTTTTCTTGCCTTGTATGTGTTTCACCTTAAATCGATATTCAGCTAATTTTAATCGCCATCGTTCACATCTTTTATTTAATTGCTCTTTGTTGGTAAAATGAACTAACGGTTCATGATCAGTTTCTAATATGAATTCATGGCCACGAAGATATTTGTCCCATTTGTCTATTGCTTGTACTATTGCATAACATTCTTGTTCGATTGTTGGCCAATTAGTTTGTGTTTTTGTTAATTTCTTTGACATGTATGCTAATGGTCGATCACCATTGGGAGTAATTTGTAATAAAACAGCGCCAATTCCATCTCCAGAAGCATCAGTTTGTAATTTAAATGGTAATGCATCATCAGGTAAATCAAGAATAAGATCGGTTGTTAATATTTTCTTGAGTTGATGGAATGCCGTTCTCGCTTCAGCAGATAATTCAAATTTTAATTTTTTATTGTTCTTTTGTTGTTGTAATGTTGCTGGAGAGTATTTATGTAATGGTGCAGCGATGGTGGAGAATTTTGGAATAAATTTTCTGTAATATTCTGCTGCCTTGACGAATCTAAATGCTTCTTCAGCTGATGTTGGTTCTCGTGTATCAGTCAATCCACGGATGTTGTCTGGATCTGGTTTAATGGTACCAGCTTTAATTACATGTCCAAGAAATAATATTTCTGTCCTTGCTACTTCACATTTATCAACATTTAATTTGAAATTTGCTTCTTGTAATAGAGAACAGACTTCTTCAATATGTTTTAAATGTTCACTAAAATTTTGTGAGTAAATAATAATATCGTCGATATAGGCGAGAACATGTTTCCACCTATTTGGACCTAATATTTGATTAACAATACGTTGAAATGTTGGTGGTCCATTAGTAAGTCCTTGAGGTAATACTTTAAATTGAAAATGTCCATCTCGAGTTGAAAATGCTGTTTTTGGTCGATCTGATTTGTCTAATGGTACTTGAAAATAACCAGCTTTGAAATCAAATTTTGTGAAATATGCTGCTTTTGTTAACTGGTCATAAATATCATCAATTCTTGGTAGAGGAAAAGCATCTTTCGTTGTAATTTGATTCAGACGACGATAATCGACACAAAATCTTGTTGTTCCATCTTTCTTTTTTACTAAAACGACAGGTGAAGACCATGGTGATGTTGAATGTTCAATAATTCCATTTTTTAATAATTTATCTGTTTCTTTTCTTAAGGTTTCTTGATCTTTGTTCGATTTCCTATATGGTGGAGTATGGATTGGTCGATGTGTACCAGTATCAATAGCATTTTTTAAAACAATATCAATTTTTGATGGTCTTCTAATATCAAATAATTTTCCATATTTCCATAAAATTTTTAAAATGTGTTCCCGTTGTTTATCATCATTAATATGTTCGGTTAATTTGTTTATTTGCTGTCTTATTTCTTCAGGATAACATTTATTTCTAAGGTGTTTAAATAATTCATTGCCAGTATCAAAATTTCGATAACATTCACGACATTGGTGTTGTTTTCCATGTACTGTTGTAGTCAGCACATTATTAAAATTTAATTTGTTTGATTTATTCGCTCCTTTCCCTTCAGGAATGAGCTCTTTACACGCTTTTCCTTCCGGAATGCATTCTGTTAAATAATTTGATGACATGGTGACACCAATTGTAGAAGATACTTGTGTCACTATACCTAATTTGGTTCCTTCGGAAAGCGTTTGTTGTCGATTAGTTGCATTAATTATACTAATTCTAATTTTGCTATTTTCGATATTGAGTAATGCATTTGCAGTAAATAATGCTTTATTTTTTAACCGAGGATTTGGTTCAAATAATATGTCAGTCATATTGTTAGGTTGAACTTTTGCTTCTACTATTTTTTCTGAAAAAGGAGGAAAAGTAATATAATTAATAAGAGTAGCTGGATAATTTAGAAGAGGTGGTGTAGCAAAAGGAGTTGATACTTCTTTACCTCGACTTCGGATCATAATTCGTTGTTCAGGTGTGAGAATATAAACATTGTTTGATTGAATCCAATCACTACCTAATATCAAATTTGTAACAAGATTTGTTGTAACAGCAGCAATAATTGTTGTTTTTATTCCATTAGCATTTATTTCTAAAGGTATCTCACCAATAATATTTAATGTTGAGCAATTTGCAGATAAATGATTTATTGTTTTTGGTATTAATTTTTCATGTGGTATATCATTTAATAGTTGTTGATGTATAATAGTGATGGCCGATCCAGTATCAATGAGTGCTTTTTGTGGAGTGTTGTTGCATAAAATTTCGACGAAAATGGGAGAAAATGTTGTTGGGTTTGATGACTTTTTGGCTCCACAGGGATCGTCGCCATCATCCGATCCCTTTATTCGAAAAAAATATTGTTGAGGACAATCACGTACTTGATGGTTTGATTGTCCACATTTAAAACAGCCATTGTTCTTCTTATAAAAGCATTTAATTGTTGTATGATTGTTTTTGTTGCAAATTAAACATGGAGTTGATTGCTGAGTTTCCTTTTTCGGATAATTTTCTTGATTTCGGTTAAGGGTCATATAATTATTTTGTGTTGGGTATGTTCGACTACGTGTTGATGTTGATTGTTGTTGATGTGGTTTTTTATAATAATGACGTGATGTAGATGGTTGTTGACTTGATAACTGAATATTTGTTGACGTTGGTTGAATTGTTGCAGTTGATAATGTACGTTCAAAAAATGGTAAATTCTTTGATTCATGATGTGGAACGCTAATTTTTTGTTGAATTCGTTTTTGTATATATTCTTCTTCTCTTGCAAATTGCAACCATTCTTCTGGTTTTTTAATTTCTTTTTCATTACGAATTAAATGTTCCTTTAATGAATTTTTTACACCATTCTGTAATACCGTAATAACTTGTTGTTCAGTAATAAATTGTCGAGACTTTCTATATTTTCGAATAACATTTTCATAAAATGATATAACAGATTGGTTTTCTTTTTGATAAATATAAAAAAATTCTTGCATTAATTGACTGTCTGATGCAAATTCTTTAAATCGATCTCGTAATGCTTTTTCAGCATCACTCCAGTTGATAAATGATCGTAAGTTTTCTTGATACCATCGTAATGCTGGTCCTGTTAATTTGCCCATTGTTTCAAGAATTCTTGTTTCATCTTTTAATTTCATTAATGAAAATAAATTATTTAAATCAAATAACCATTCATCGATATCGAGTTCATTAGCTTCTCCTGAAAATTCAGCTATTTTCTTCATTGCTTCTTTTTGACTTGAATGAAGTTGTTGAGTTTCCATTGGGGTTGTTTCCATTTCTTGCATAGATGAAATATCGTTTAATTTTTTATTTCGTATTCGTGTTGGTGAATTAGTAATTAATTCGTATGATAAAAGGTTCGTACCACCTTGTTTTATTGCGTTTCTTGTACCGGTAGCCGTTGTTGAAAAAAATGCACTTAAAGGAAGGACAAAAAATTTGAACTTTATATAGAAAGAAGATACCTTCTTATAATAAATAAATTTCGAAAATAATTTATGAATAAATATTTAATTTTTCTCTTTCCTAGAAGGATGAGATTGTATTTCACTCTTTCCGTCACGGATGAGTAAATTAATTAATAAGTTCGTTCTTCTTCGATGTAGTAAATAGAAGAAGATGGGTCACGGCACCAAATTGTTAGCTCGTTTCACGAGCTTATACTTGTTTACTTTATTTTATTCTAAAATGTCCTTGAAATTACGTACATATATATATATAACAATAGAGAAGAGAGAAAAAGGAGAAAAAGAAAGAGATATAACAATAACAGTGTTGGAAGAATAAAAGAAGAAAGAGAAAGAAGAGAGAGATAGCTGGATGATGAATCACCGCTAACACTACTTCAATGTTTATCAATTCGATCCGTATTGTTTCTTTTTTAATGATTGTTACAACAAAATCAAAGTTCTTTTTTCGCTCTATTTGTTTCACATGTTCGAGTTCAATTCGATCTTCTTCTTGATTTGAAATGTTCTGATATGATAGATCATATCAATGGTTATAATCATTTACACTGGATAAATGAACAAAAACATGAGAACAATCATTATCGAATTCGGATGAACTATTGAAAACAGTTCATGATCACCTTAGAAGATTCAAGATGTAATATATCGATGATTTGATATTGAAATAATTTTCATTATGTCAGATAAACTTACATTTAACATTGATCGAATAATTCATTTGATCGAAGCGATTTTTTGAAACCAGAAAAAATTGTTTGTGATGTGTTGATCATGAAAATGATTGACGAATGTCTATAAATCTGTTAATTATTAATGACGAATCTATTGAAATATTATAGTAAACATCAATTAATGAACGAGAACACATAGATATGATGGAATATCGAATGTTTCTTCTATGTTTTATATTTTGTGAACTTATAAGAGATTTGTAAAACTAATTTTTAATCCACATCATTCAATGCGGATATTTGTTTGTTTGTTTAGTTATTCAAATAGAAATATTCTTACAATGAACATTCCAAAATAAATACTTCTTCATTCAAATGTAAAAATCCATTAAATTATTTAAAATATAATCATTTATAAACTTGATGCATGTTTTGAATCTGATTATTTAACGATTCAATTCATTTTAATTGAGAAATCTAATTAATTATTAAATACTTCTGTTTTACAAATCAGATATTAATAATTTCAAATTCATGTCTTAACTAAAATTTTATCTAGATCAATAAACGTTTTGATATTGTTCGTTTTTTTATCGATACTGTATCTAGAAGATGGACAAATGATATGTTTTTTTATTCCACGTGCATATGATATATTCGGATTTTCGTTCGAAAAACAATTTTCTTGATCAGTATCATCATTATTCGTTTAGGTATGGATGGAAGAAAACGACAAGAAAATAACACAATTCAAAATTTTCGTAGTAATAAAAAACGAAAATTACAAAATGAAAGTAATATTTTATGTTAATATTTCATGAATATAATTTTCTTTCTATGTTTTCTTTTTTGTTTTAGTAGCAACAATCAATATAAACAAGTTAGTAGGTATTTTTAAATATCTATTTGATCATATCATATTTAGATCTCGTTTTCAAGATTTAGCAAATGAGATTTTTTATGAAATATTTGAATATCTTGATATGCATCATGTTCATAAGGGATTTTTCAATTTTAATAAACGATTTAAAAATTTACTTAATAATTCAAATCTTCTAACTAAAATAAATATTTCAACAATATCAAAATCAGATTTTGATTATTATTATAGAAATATTGTTATACGAAATAGAGAACGTATTAATTTATTTCGTTTATCAAATCCATTTACAACTGATATAATTTTTTCACCAACAAATATTATTTTAAAATTTATTTCTCTTGAAACATTAATTTTTGATAATATACATGTTAAATATCTTAATAAAATTTTTGATTATTTATTAGATTTACCTAAATTTCATTCATTAACTATTTCATTTATTGATTATATTGAATCATTAGATATTTTCATTCAAATATTTCGTTTATCAAAATTAGAATATTGTAAAATAATATATAAAATAAAAAATAATCACTATTACCTATTTATTTAACTAAACATGATTCTAGTTGTATTCAGTATTTTATAATAAATGGTGATTTTCCATTTAATTCATTACATAATTTATTATCTTGTCTTCCTCAACTTCATCATTTATCAATTGATTCTCTAGTCAATTGTCATGATACAGAAAGAGAAGAATTATCTTCTATTGAATTAAAATATTTAAAATATGTATTTCTTAAATTAAATTTTATAGATTTTTATAAATTTGAAAAAATAATAAAAACTTTTTTTTCATTATATTCAAATTTTACGTCTTACAACATGTTTTGATGAAGCATATTTAAATGCTAAACAATGGGAAGATTTAATATTATCTTCTATGCCATATTTACGTATTTTCGATATAAATCATGAAGGTTCTATACGAAATAATAAATTAACATATCATGATATAATCGATCGATTTAATTCATCATTTTGGCTTGAAAAAGAATGGTATTTTTCACATCAACATAATTGGTCACATAGCTTAGATAGTGGCATTTTTTATTCAACAAATCCATATCGGTAAAAAAAAGAAATTTATCTTTATTTTTGATTTTTTTTTTGTTCTCTTAACAAATTAGTTCATATACATCGGAAATGAATTTAAATTCAGTTAAATATGTTTCTATTTGTGAACAAAATATAACAAATAACCATGTAAATTATTTTCCAAATGTTACTCAATTGACTATTAAATTCTATATTGAAACATTCGATGAATCATTTACTACAACTATAAATCGTTTAATTCCATTATCACAACTTACTAGATTAATTATTGAATATAGTTTTTCTTTTGAAAATATTATCAAATTATACAAAGTGAAATTTTTCAATATGTTTCAAAAATAAATAAAATAAAAAATCTTGATATTAAAAATTATAATTCATTGAATAATATTCAATTGATTGTTAATTTATTATCACAATTAGAATATTTTAAACTTATAGTAGATCGAAAAGAAATTAAACAATTAATTCGATTTTTATTATCAAAATCAAATACTAAGACACAACATCTATTTTTTTTTATGTATTTCAGATGTATCTGTGTCAAATCCAAAAGAATTAAAAGCTTTAATTAGATTAGAAAATTTACTTCATGATTATCGAATTAAATATCTTAATCATGATTTATATATATGGTGGTAAAAAAAAAATTTAATTGTTTAGGACATGTTTTTTGTTGGTATATACAATTCGTAATTACTTTTGAATAAATAGAAGATCTAACTTTGAAAATATTTTTTTATTTTGATTTGACCATAAAGTAAAATATATATGAAAGGTATTCCTATAATAAATATATAAACTTGGATACTCGTCGATGCGGATCTTTTCTCACTCACATCCACTCGGCATTGATTCAAGGATCGATTTTTTATCTTTTATCAAACATCATTTTTCAGAAATATCGAGATTTGTACTTCGCACCGCATTTCATATTCGAGTCAAACTCGAATATTATCTAGTTTATCTAATACTTTAGAGAAAATATTAACAGTTGACCATCTGTTATTTGATTGAGATGATTGATCTATTGATCAGCGAGCAATAGGAAACTATTGACTGTGAAAATTGCAATATTTTTTTTATTGGAATAAAAGCTTGAAGAACTTTTTCTAAGAATAATTTCAAAGTTCTTACAACGTCTTTCAATCTAAAAAGTTGTTTACCTGATCATTAACTATTCCAAATTCTTTTCAACATTCATCATTAGCATTAATATCAAAAAAGAGAAGGAAAAAGAAAATATTGATTCGATCTATTTTTTCAAATTCGAAAAAAAAATTATATTTAGAAAAAATGAAAACATTTATTTCTTTTGAAAGATACTAATCTAAAGTCAAAATTAAGTCTGGTTTATTAATATCCATAAGAAGATACCATGTGTTCGAAAACTCAATTCTTATCCATAGAATTCAATAGAAGTCATCAAAATTTTATTGGAATCGATCCATTTTTCGTTTGGGTGTGGATGTAACTGTGGGGTGTTGCTATGAGTTCGGTGTGGTTGTCAAGCTTACATGGCACTCACACCCACACTCCGGTTCAGCCTCCTTCCCACAATTTATCTCTCACTCCATCACTAATATAGATTAGTCTATTTTTCAATTATACACAAACTCTAACAGCTATAATCGAGGAATATAAAGTGTATCGAAAAATAGGAATTTCTTCTTGGTTCTCTTTCAGTGCCCTGATTTCTAAATTCAAAAAAAAAAGATATTGTTCAATAAATGTGTCGCACTAACATTAAGATTAGAGACGGTCTTCTGCAAAAATCAATTCATGATTACAAAAGTTATTTAAGGAAATATAGTACTCGAGCTATTAAAAATCATGAAACTGGAAAAACGGACAGCTGTTCAAAAGTTAAAGAATTTCTATTTCTGAGTTCTTGAATATTTTTGACTGCGAAATTTCTTTTTTAACAAACGATATTTGAAACATATTGATCCAAATCGTGAATTCTAGACTCCGAACAGAAGTTGATTTTACTGAAACCGATCTGAAAACACAAAAACTGCGGATGTTGGAAATAAAACTTGTACAAGTACGCATTATTTTCGCTGTTTAAAAGAATGAATTTGTTTCGGTTATATTTGTATTTCTGTAGATTAATAGAAAGCATTAAAACCAAGTTTTTTAGTTTATACAAGAGAACAATTATGAGTCTTTCTTTTATTTAGCTGATACCATTTGTTCACTTAGTTGCCATAAACGTTCAGCTGCTTCCATATCTGCGGCATGTGGCGCTATACCCCAAGCTGTCTTATCTGTATTGACACCTTTACTAATCGCACAATCTTCAAGATATGCTCCACCATGATTGTCAAGTTCAGATGCTAGAGCAGCATAGACAATAGTCGACGCACCTTGTTTAACAGTTTTGAAAATATCAATAAGTGTACCATCTTCCCTATACCATCCCATTGCACGTTGTTCTTTTTCTGGTATATGTTGTTGTAAATTAGTTAAAACTCCACCTGGCTGTAAAGAATATGCTCGAATACCTTGTGATTCATATAATTTATTGAATTGTTTAGTAAAAAGAATATTAGCCGTTTTACTTTGAGCATAGGCAAGCTATTTATCATAATTTTTCTCCCAATTGATATCATTCCAATTGATGCCACCACGTTTATTTGCAAGTGAACTCATCACAACAACACGTGATGGATTCCCCGCTTTGAATTCAGATAAAAGACTAGTAGTAAGAAGAAAATGAGCCAAATGATTAACACCAAATTGTAATTCAAAACCATCGACTGTTTTCGAATATGGACATGCTGTAATTCCTGCATTGCCTATTATGTATATAGTGAATCGAGACAGATAATAAAATATTTGACTTACAGATAAGAATATTAATTGATAATTTACGTGTTCGAAATTGAGAAACAAAATTTCTGACCGATTCAAGTGAAGTAAGATCCATTTCCATTATTTCAACTTTATCATTACCTGTTGTTTTTTTAATATCTTCAATAACTTTTGCACCTTTATTTATATCTCGTGCTGTAATTATAGTATGTGCATTTGCAGATGCCAATGCACGAGCAATTTCAGTACCAATACCTCGAAGAAATAATTGAAATTTTTTTTAACAAATTTTATCTAATTTGATTTTTTTACCTGATGTCGCACCAGTGATTATCACGACCTTTCCGTCTAATTTTGCATTTAATCCTTTAACAACTTCGAGTGCAGTTGATTTTGAATGAAAAGTTGGTGTAGCCATTTGGAAAAGAAAATAGTTCTGAAAAATGTAATGATATGTTGTTTTTCTTTGAGTTATACAACAGCGAAGTGCATTTGGTAGAGGCTTGTTTATTATTTATTCTCCTTTTCTCGTTCTATTTTTTTCTTGTCCTGTTTTCTCCTCCTCTGTTCTATATCGATGATGTACGATTTTTTTTACGTCTCTCGTAATCTTCTATGAGGATAAATATGCTAGGAAAATATTCTTGCCCTTTTGTATCAATAAGAATCAACACATTCAGCTAACAGAAAGATTATTATTTGTTTGATTTTTAGATAAAAGTTGTTTCGAGAAAGAATCGAGATGCATACATTAAAGGCAACGTAAGCTTAATATATTCACTCTAACGAGATTTTGCTCTATTGAGTCGTCGATGCTGTTTGTCGTCGCAAGAAACTGATTTTATTTACACAAACAGAATTGTGCTTTTACCGAAATGGATATCATCTTCACTTCTATTTTTTCCCATAATGGTCGAATGCATCAGAAACGATGAAAAATAATTACGCAGCAGTAAAGCAAGAAAAATTGGCATTTTTCACATGCAATAGATAGAAATTCATATAACAAAATAGAACGAAAAAGATGAAAGAGAGATTTGTGAAAGAAAAAATTCAGCAGTTGTGTTTTACTTCTGCATGTATACTTTAGATATGATTATTACATGTCTATCTAGGTATTTTCGTAATATGATAACTCACTTGCATTACATGCATTGTTAGTTTTACTCATACCGTATATCGAACACTATATAAGGATGTGCTCATAGGGAAAGAGGTGCACCTGTGGAGGTTGAACATAGATGGTCATGCATCTCTATTTGTCGTTATAATATCACATTCATTTTTGTATCATTTGCTGTTTGAGCTCTAATTCTGAGAAAGAAAATATTCTATCAACCAAGTATATTTCAAGTTCTAGCTGTTAGATAATATTAGGCATACAGCGAATGCGAACTCGAGTTTGGTTTGGAATTCTTAGTTAGAATCGATTTTAATTCACCACTACCTAACAATAAAGGAATAGCGTATAATAATTTTTTATCGATTGTGGTCGATTTGGGTGTGGTCTACTCAGGATTTATGAAAAGTAGTGGTGGAGGTATCTCAATTTCGTACAGAATGTTTGAAGAGATTTTCTTTTTATATAAACTTGTAGTAAAAACAAAGCCTTGCATGTCTACGCTATTTGATCCTTATTCATTTAATATCGTAATAATAAAATTTCGATAAGATCTATTTTTCTATAATATATGTCGGTTACTCTAATATCTATTTGATATTTTCTAAATAACTTTTGATAGAAACAAGATACAGAGTTGTGATTTCGATCGTTTGAGAGAGGTGATGAAGATTCATCGAGCCATACATTATAGTTTTCTTATTGTGTTATCTGATGTTTATTTAATCAATTTTCTAAATGTTAGGAAACTGTTTTCACATATCAGAAATGAAACAACAGAAAACTTTTTTACGGAAATTGCTGGAAAAATCACTTACGGCTTCGACTAGGATACCTATAACTTCTGAATAAATAGTTCTAAATTTCTGAACCTTGTGCGATTTTATAGATCATCCGTCGGTGGTTTGAGTATATACTTGCTAACGCAGAATTCACTGTAAACACCTAATAGGTAGTTTTTTTTCCAATAGATCGATTGGAAACCTTTAAAAAGATCATGTCAGTAAATCTATAATATATGACTTGATGTATCTTCGTTACCTCTTTCGAAAAATGAAAACTGCAGCTCTTTATCTTGTTTTCATCAAAAGTTACTCAAAAAAATATCAAATAAGCATTAGTATACCCGGCATGTATCACAGAAAAATAGATCTTATTGAAACTTTATTATTATGATACTAGATAAATAATGATTGAATAGTATTGAAATGTCCGGCTTTGTCGTTACTAGAACTCTATATAAAAAAGAAAATTTCGTCGATACTTTTGGTATACCCTAAGAATAATAATCAGAGAGATTTTTCGTATAGGTGAAAAACATTGGTTTAGTGCCATTAAAACCGAGATATTTCACTATTCTTCGGGTTGAAAATTTTCTGTGGTTGTTTTATTTTCATCTTCAGAAGAGGAAAAACAAGTGTAAGGTGAACGGAAAGTTTTAGAAACACATATTAAAGATCAAGTCCTGAACACATTCAAAGACTGCCATCCTCCTCCTGAATAGAAGGTTCTCTTGGATAAATCCACTAAAAAGATATTAGAAGATCCTATCTTGAGAAAATCTATTTTTTAAATTAATTTTTCGTGATTATTGAATTAGTTAAAACTCAATTTCATTATGCATAGGTCAGTCAAAAAGTTCTGTCACTTTCAAAAAGGTTTTAATAAAAAAAGACATTTCGATTATCTGTTTATAGCAAAAGTTCGGCGTAATTGTCGTGATGTTCGATACGAAGTTTCATCGTTTCAATCTAATGCTGAGATATCCGTTTATATTCACCAACATATTTCGAATTGAGTATCCCAGAGAACAGGTACGTAAAATGTTTGCATCCGGATTTTTATATACTCTATTTTAAAGATAACTGTATAGCTAAAAAATTGAAAGGGCAACCTCAGATGGGTATCACAGATGAGCCATATTTCCATTTTTTCTTCTTTAAAAAAATAAGTAGGATATCTTTAACATGTTGTTGAAAGGATCATAATGAAATTTCATAGAACTTCGGTCTAACGATATTTTTGTTCAATAACTTTTTTTACAGCTACAATTTTAAGCATTCATACAATTATAGTTCGTATTATTAGTTGGTCTCGAGGATCTCTGATAACAAATAATGATCTATTAGTCATTAAAACAATGGCAAGCACAGTTATTTTTGCCATTGTTGTCTTTTGACGCATCTTTGAAAGCTTTTTTCGTCCGCCAACCGTGAATTTGATTATTGTTGTGACTCAGTATCAGTGACATAGCCAGGATTGTTCGATACGCTAGATCTAAGCTCCAGAGCATGGGACTTATACGAAACTTATGAAGGATGATATTGGATCCAAATAATGGGTCTCTAAGAAAAAATTTCTGTGATCGGAGTTTGCGGAAAAAAAAATGTTTTTTTGGTTTTAGTGATATTCCATTTTTTAGACTTTCTTCATAATCTACATCGAATTTCATCGACAGATTCAAAAGGGTGTGGGTGCTTGTATGGGTCTTCTCTTCAACAGAACCCACATCCACATTCAAGATTCATCCCTAGTTCCAAGATATTTTTATTCTTAGACTAAGGTTATACGATAAAATGCGTAATGTTATTCAATAGAATACAAATTAAAAGGATTAAAAATTTCAAGAATAAACTGTGTGACAAATGGAAATGAAAATCAGGTCAACTAATAGTTTGATTTAAATGAGACGTTTAATGAGTCGTAAAGATCCACATTTTGCACATTTAACTGGAGTCACCAAAATTTTCTCTATCTGTCTGCGTGCATCACAGACAATTTGATTAGTTGTAGTATGATAACGAAAATAATTACCATTTCGTTCAGAAGGACACCGTTCACTTGTATGAATAAGGTTAGTGCTCAAAGCTGAACGAAGACATTTTGAACATGGTTCAAATTCAACTTTCAATTGACCTTTCAGTTCACCTGTTTCTTCGTCTGGCTTTATTGAATCATTTATTCGTTCTTCTCGACAAATTAGATCCTCTAGTCTCTCCAGTTTTTTGAGTGTTTCTTTCGATAATGTTTCTCTTCTAGTTTCTTGATTACCATTTTTTTTGTCTTTGTCTTTGTAAATATTTCTTATTTCGTCGATGAAGATGTCAGGGTCTTTATACTGATCCAATTCTCTTTCTATGCTGTTCAACCTTTCTGTAAAGCGATTCAACTCTAATAATTTTGAATCTGACCCATATATTTTTTTTACTGCAAGCTTTTTCATTTCTTCCGTGTGTTGTCTTGTCAAACGAATACGTTCCTGGTTAAGCTTGGCATTTGCTTCTTCTTTTTGGATATCTGGTATGAGTGTGGGTGCAGTTGGAGGAAATAAAATACGTCCACTCATCCACACTCCATATCCACAACCACGCCCACACCCACATCCACCCCTCAATGTATATTGAGTGCGAGAAAACAGAAACGAATGGAGAGTAGTTAGATAAAACAAAACGAAAGAACGAATAGAAGGAAAAGGAAAAAACGAATACACACATATATAAGTTCATAAGGAAGAATAAATCCTTAATTATTTCCCATGAATATATACTTTTGAGATGTCGTTCCATTGAGTCAAGTTCCCATATAGGACTTAAGAGAATTGTGTCGTATTGATACCAAGCTTCTTGGCGTAATCATTCCCATAGTACACTAGAAGTTCCTCTCCTGCATCGATATCTCGCTTTGTTATGTAGAAAATGTTACCAAGATCTATACATACAGCAATATATGCCATCGAGAAAAAAAAAGTTGCAGTCCGTATTTCAAATATATTATCATAGTGAAAACACATTTTTTTAAAAACTAATTATACATTATGAAAGCTCATAGAGTTCTCTATCACCCTGTATATTTATGTTTAGTGTGCACTTATGCATTATCAAAATAAATTGAGTGCAATAAAGGTACTCTTATATGCGGGTTCCCACTCACTTGATTTTGTCATTGTTGACAAAATTGGTTTTTCAAATTTTTCATTCTATAGAATTATATTCTTCGAAAACTAATTGCATATTCTGAGAGAGCTTGGAATTCTGTCTCATGCCATATATTCCTCTATTGCATTGCATCCATTTGTTGAAAAATACTTTGAATGCAATGAACGTATCCTCAATTGGCAAATACCAAAAATCTGCATTTTCCCGTCATCTTTGTGTAGATTTCTTTTTGAAACTATTATCACTAAAGGAAAAAATATTTTAAAAAAGTATTCTAGGTTCTGATACAACATGAGATTTTCTATCATTCTGATTATTTTTCAGTTGTTTTACATCAACTTGTTCTAGGAAATAAATTCAAGACAATAAGTACATAATATAAGAGGATACAAAAATTTCAATCTCCATCAGAATATATAACTAGCTTTCAAAGAAGATAATTCTATAGCGATGAAAAATTTGAAAAACTAATTTTGTCAACAGTGACAAAATCAAGTGAGTGGAAATCTGCATATGAGAGCACCTTCATTGCACTCAATCTATTTTGATAATGCATAAATGCAAACTAACCGTGTCAATATATTTGATATACGGATTGTAGTTATTTTTTTCCGGGCGTATATAAGCAGTTAAAGCAAAAATTATATACGAATATCATCTTACATATGACTGCAAGGAGATTTTGTTGACTAACACTAATCGGACAGTTAACAAATCGAAGCCAATTCGAGTTGTGGGGATAGAATCCATCGATGAAATATATCGTGTCATCCGGAGAATTTGTAATCTATGTATACATAAAAAGATAGATATCGAACTGCTTCCATTCTTACCATCCAAGTATAGCCGCTTTTTCTTGCAATGAGGCTATTTTCGTGCTTGTAGCCAAAGTAAGGACCGAAATAAGTATCTTTTGGGATCCGACGAGCAGCAAATACTCCTAAACCCTTGCGAAAATAAAATATTCATTTTGCTTGTGCAATACTTATCAATTATACATTACATACTGCGCCCGGAAGAGTGCTTTCAGCAATGAAGACAGTATGGAG